GTGTGTGTGTGTGTGTGTGTGTGTGTGTGTGTGTGTGTGTGTGTGTGTGTGTGTGTGTCGGGTCACATGTGCTGACCTCTCCCCCTTCACCCTCCCACACATATTGACCGTTGCCATGGAGACAGCATGTGCCGCTGTTGTGCACTAATAGAGGCCTGCAGTGGAGTGAAGGAGCCCCTCGTTAGAGCTCCGCTGATGGATAGACACATTCAGACACACACTGACCACTTTGGGGTTTGTGTTCAACACCATGTGACCTCAATTCACTGACTTCTGTTGAAAAGGGAGCATTTTTAAGGTTTTCTGATAAACTTAAACTCGGTTTGAATAGCCTTTTCCAGATCCCAGCCCCTAAATGGAGAAAAAAAATCTACATTTATTTGTATTTTTTTGTAATTGTAAAAATATTTTTACATATTTTTTATTTTAAATATTTATTATGTAATTGTTATATATGTATTTCTGTTTTTTTCTTTGTTTTGGTTATTTATTATTTACTTAACTTACTGATTTGCTCGTTAGTTGGTTGGTTAGTGATTTAATTACAATTACAAAATCAAAAATAATCAGGCATACTGGAATTAATGTGTTTAATTAATCAATTAATTTCTAAGGATGCACCAAATGTTCAGCAACCGAAATTGCATTTTGAATAAGCGAAAAAAAACTAATAAATTGTACTGAACAATGATGTGACATGATTAAATAGAGACGCGCACTTATGCAGCAAATGTGTCTGCAGTGTGAAAGCATTTAAAACTGATAATAAATGGAAAGATAATAAATCCAGATTATAGATGGGAAAATAATATTTTTTCCACATTTATATATATATATATATAATTTTTTATATATATTTTCAAATATTTTTTGCTTTTTTAAGTATTTAACTATTCTAACTATTTAACTATTTTAACTATTTTTTTTTAACTTACTGATTTACTCTATCTGGAATTAATGTGTTTTATTTGTGACCCAGAAATAGTGGCAAATCGGAAAGATTTCTTCTTTTTACACCGTACTTTTTCTATACTTTTGTGCAAAAATATTTAACATTTATCTTAAGGTTTTCTTAAGGTTTGGCTCGTCATTTCTAGATCCCAGCACCTAAATGAAAAATATGCATTTTTCCACATTTGCTTTTTAGATATATTATAATATATATATAAATATTATAATATACATAAAATGTGGTTTATTTCATTTTTTACATATTTTTGTTTAATACATAATTTTATATTTAATTTAAAAAATGTGTTTTATTTAAATTGTTTTAATATTTGCTTTCTGTATTTTTATTTACTGAACTTACTGATTTCCTTGTTAGATTTGTTTTTTGTACACAATTCTGTGTACAAAAGTAAGAAAAAACGTTATTAAAAATAAATTTTACTTTGGATTATGTTTGGCTTTAGATTTAGATTTTGACACTCAAATTTCTAGCGTGTTCAGATGCATGTTGACATTATGTTGATGTGTGTAGTAGTGACTGATGCTGTATTAGCTGAGCATCAATATTTCCACCTGCAGACGGTCCTGATAACGGCTCCAGTCAATATGGATATTAATAACCGTCTGTCTCTCTTTCTCTCAGGTAAAGCCCTGACGTTCCTCCTCCTCCAGCCGCCCAGTCCCAAGCTGCCGGCCCACAGCACCATCCGGCGCACAGCCATCGATCTGATCGGCCGAGGCTTCACGGTGTGGGAGCCATATATGGACGTGTCGGCAGTTCTCATGGGTCTGCTGGAGCTCTGCGCCGATGCCGAGAAGCAGCTGTCCAAGTGAGATGCACACTTTTTTACTGTACAACACAAAATCTCAGGGAATTTGGTGTATTTTAGATGAATAAATCAAAAGTTGGGCTGTTAATTAAATCTCAAATCATGAACTTCATCTCCAGAGAGATCTGAGAGTCACCAGTTTCCACCTGTACATTTGAAAAACTACTGTCAGAAACTCAGAGATCTTCAGTACAACCCGTCAAAATAAAAGTTCGGTTTAACTTGAAGAAATTATGACAGAAATATATTAGTATAGTGCAGTACTCCTGGATTTCATAGGGCCCTAAAAATGTGAAGAAAAAATGTAAAAACAAATTGTTATTAAATTGTGTACGCTTTATAATTTCTAATTATTAGACGTGCTTTTTGATTACTAAACTTTACTTAACTATGAAAATGGAATCCAGAAAATTTCAAATGGAAAAAATCTAAATCCAGAAACATTATAACAGAAAGCGGAATTTAAAAAATAAAAATGGATTTCATATCAAAATATGTTGTTTCATGATTTCGATTAATTAGACGTGTTTTTTTTTATTTATTTAATTTAATTTAACCATTAAAAGTGGATCCAGGAAAATGTTATGAAATGCAAATGAAATAAATGATTTATTTTTTATTTTTTTCAAAATAAATAAATAAATAAAATAAATAGTTGTTGAATGGTGTAAGTTTTATGATGTCAGTTAATTAGACATGATTTTTGATTACTATGTTTTTGTTTAACCATTAAAATGGAATTCAGAAAAATTTAAAAGGAAAAACAACAGAATCTAGAAATATTAAAATAGAAAAAAAGAATTTGAGCAAACCTAAAACCGATATCATAAGACCCTAGGTTAGTCTGCAGGGGTTTTGAAACGCTCTCCATAAGCAGCATTGGTTAGTTGTTCAGAGACTCAACGGTCCTGAATCAGTTCTGAAACCCTTCACAGCTGCTTGATGCTTTCTCCAGATTCTCCTCATCGCGCCAGCGTTTCCCCTGACAGATGAGAGGCAGGCTGTAATGCGATTGGAGCCCATTAATATGATGTAATGATGTCTCGTCCTCAGGATGGTGGAGACCTCCAACCGTAAGAGGAAACCCATTCGTCTGGGCCTTCACCTCCGCGCCCAAACGCCCGCAAACCAGCTTACCGTCCAGCCTGACCCGCTCGTTAAGACGAAACCTGACCCAAAAAAAATTTATTATGAGTACAAATATGTCTGCGTGGAGCGCGTGCTAATGCCATTAGAGCCAAATGGCACTCATTTTTCATCTGTGATTACGTGTGGCGTGTATGTGAGTCTTGAGTGGAACGATGATGATGATGATGATGAAGATGATGTTTCTTCTTTGACCTCCAGACTGATGCAGGGCAACGTTATCTGCTTTTGAAACAGCAAATCTGTTTAGCGCCATTCGAAGACCTTTAGTTTGAGAGAGAGAGAGAGAGAGAGAGAGAGA